GAAATTTTTTGGATACGACGCCCCGTTATGGAGGTATAATTTTTTAAATAACATGATGTCAGAAAATCAGCCCAAAAGCTTATCTTATTTCTGTTGGTTACGCACCGCTGACTCGCAATGTTTGTCATCACTTCAAGATGTCTACCGATTCGTGAAAAAGGCGTATCGTAAGACGGCTTTTGTTTTTGGGCCTGAGACTGTGTGCTCGACATTGTTGCAATATCAGCCGTACGAAATGCTTATACATCTTGGCTTTTTACCCGAATACATAGAAATGAAGGTAAAGAATATAGCATTTGACTACTCTGAAAAATTAATTATTGTATACATTTTATTTTTGAGTTGTTTGTATTGACAATTGTAATTATGATATGTTAATATAATATACATACATTTATACATTTATTTAACTTTATTCATTTATTCATTTCACATTAATCTCTATGAATGAAAAATACTCAATATCCATGACATTTTCAAACTTAATGTCATAGGCTGGATTTATATCAAAATGTTGAAAGTGGCAACCACAACAACGTATTCTAAATATTTTCTCAAAACAAAAATGAAATGCATGTTCCATTTGCAAGACTGACTTGTAGTCAGCACTTTCTACACGCAAGTGGACCCAAATCATGGAATTGTTTGTTGGACGAAATCCCACATATTTTATATAAAACTTCTGAAATCGGTAATTATCATTAAGAAAATATTTGTTGTCAATGTACCTCACATAAATAATGTCTACATGATAGATCGAACATGAATGATATCATTTGACAATTTGATTTGTCATCATTTATGATTATTAGCAATATACTGTATTTGTTGATCAATCAATATATTTTTTTTCACTGTTTTTGATAAATTTCCATGTTCGTATTTTGTAGTGGTGCACAACAACATTGTTTTCTTCTGTGTGTTCGTTGGTCACTTCTGCTTTTTTTTAGAGTACCAAGTAAATGTTTACTGAATTCAATTGAGTTATTGTCAAAAAAATCTGGTTGCAAATCTTGGCCCAAAAGCTAAAATGTATGCAAGCCTATTAACAATTTTCATAATTTAAAAAAAAAATGTTTTAATGATTTTAAGCTACCATAAATTATATAAAAATATATTTATGCTACCATATCATATATTTAATTATATTAAAATAATTTAAGCTACAGTATCATATAAAAACTAGAAGACAGCAGAAATCAGACAATAAGATATAGAATTTGGGTTGGAGTTGCATCTACTCCTAGATGCAGCCGCTTCAAATTAAACTTTTTTTAAATGAAATATATTTTATTCATTTCTAGGTGAAATTACACAAGAAAGCATTCTGGGTTGTACTGTTGTATCCTGAATCATTACCACAATCTACTCCAATTCTACCAGCAACCTGGGATGGAGTTTTGAAATTTGTCCAGAGTTCTTATCCGGATGCATTCCAGATAGTCAAACAACACCTCTACGTCATGAAAAACAATCCGGTGGAGTTTTTTGAAGCACAAGCTGGTTTAAAATTCATCGATGTTCTTCATGATCCTGAAGGACCGAATTTCATGAGTTACTCAAGGTTTCGGAGACTTCCCCCTCCCCAGCTAGAGTGGGAGACGCGATTGTTTCTGTATTGTGAAGTTAGGATTTTTGAGCTTTTTACCGGTAATGGTTTTACGAAGACAGCAAACGGATTGAAAGGGGAGAGGGAATACATATGCGAAAACTATGATCTACAAAAACTTGGCGAAGGAAACTATGTTGCAGTGCCACTTACTGTTCATATACCCTCTGCTGAGGGTGGAAACGATGATCAATAAGATCTCATCTGAATTTAAATTGTACAGATTTTTTTTTTTTTGGTAAGTTCCATGACATATTGTTATTATGCAGAGTTTCTAATCAGAGGGTGAATTGGTAAACCATAGTACCTACAGGTTATTCAAATTTAACCTACATGTACCTTTACGGACCTCACCTTTTAGTGGCTTTTCCTTTTAGTTTTTAGTCATAACAAAATCCTGGATTTGACAGTGTCTGAACCTGTTAACATGGGATCAGAAGGCAAGCATTTTAACCACAAATCCTCTGTTACACTACAAGAACAGATGATTACAATATAAAATTCCAGGTTCATGACTTCCCTTATAAAAATGAATAATCAAATTTTGTTGCAATATGGCGACATGCCAATCATTTCTAAGAATCTAGCGCTGAAGAATAGGCGATACTAACTCCTGAATCCTGCCAATGAAGATCCCTCACGTACCGTGAAAAATATGTGTTGTATTTTACTGTGCACTCTGTCAGTATTCGACACGGAGCCCCAGCGACTTTCATGTACTGCATGCTTCTAAACCGTAATTAAGATAAGCATAGAGTACTACGCGAGAAACACACTAACTTCATTAAGCTTCCTATGCTAGTCCTCAGCGGAGGAAGAGGTGATCGCTGCAATATAACTTGCGGTGTAGCGTTCCCCTGGAGGCTACTGCGTGACATCACAGTAAAGTAACACTTAGCCAAGTTTTATCTGTTTGGGAATGATGAAATAGTGTAGTAGTCATTGATTTCTTTGCTTCAATTTCAGCAAAAGCCCTGTCCAGACTTTCCAATTTTATTTGACATAAACATGTAACATGCCTAAATATGGTCATGATGACCTCACATCATGACCATATATAGGCACATCATGACTATATATGGGCATACAACAGTTTTTTTTTCAAAGAAAATTTGATATTGTTGACAGAGTCCAGTTAAGCCAATTTTTTTCTCCCTATAATTACACTAAAGGAACATAGGAAGAAAAATGTTTTTTATATTCACATAACCTGTACTTTCATTTTCAAAATTTACTTCTCATGCTAAACAGTTATTGTGATTGATAGATCATGTGTTGACAGCTGATGCACACATGACATGCACACAAACATACATGATTATGTACAGCTTGATATATGCACATTAAGTATCATGTACACTTCCACACACACACACACACACATACATATTGGCACATTGTTGCAGACATTAAAGGGACCAAAGGGGACACTACTATTGCTGTAAGAGGGCACCCATATTAAGGGGACAATTTCAAGCACTAAAAAAGGGAGAGTTTGTACCTTTTAACAGTACGGCTAATACCTATGCAGGGGACACCCCTTAAGGAGACACTTTTTGGTCCTGAAGGTGTCCCTTAATACGGGTTCTACTGTACCAGAAAGAGGTTGAATAAATGAATTAAGTTAATAAATGAGTGAATGGAAATGAAGAAATTGTTGCATTAATTTAATAATTGTCAATCTTCTTTTGTAGTGTGCTGTGTTTAGTTTTTGTCAGTTGTGACAGTGAGCAAGTTTAGCGGCTCCATACTTTCACCTCCTTGCTATCAATCACTCAAATGTATACTTCAGTTTATATGCAATATTCAAACTGAAGGTAAGTGACAGTCTTATTATCAGATTATGATTCAGTACATGTATTATGTATTCTATTTATTAGGTTATTTTCAATTCTAGAATTTAAATTTCCCCATAGCAACCTATAATGTGCAAGTTTAAGTTTTTTTCTTTGACAGTGTTGAAAGCATGTAGCTATAGTCATGCCTATGCCCATTGGATTTGAATGCATCCCTGGTGGCCATAAGCCCTCGATTTCCATTTATTATCCCCTTCCCCCACATACACACACACTGATGGCACAAAATCCCAGATCAGCCACTACTGCAGTAACTTGGTCAATCTTGTGTCCTGTACTGTTTGTGAATTAGCTATGTCCATACTTTTGGGTTTTATGTGAGAAGTACCTGTGCTGTGTCCATAATGGGTGTGATATGACATATGGGTGTGATATGATATAATATGGGCCAGATGATGTCATCACACCCATATTTGGGTGTGATATGACAAATCACAGATATTTTATCACAGAAAATTTGATAGTATGCAAAAGCTTAATAATAGATCTGGTTTAGCCTTAGCTTTGCTTTCATAAATTTTTTTCTGATAAATGCGTCAAGCCAAGTCACTGTATTGTATGTGATCACATGTCCATTATGAACAGTCCTGCCTGTTGTGCATGCAATTCATTGATCCTTTCCTCCACTTATGCATTCCTGATCACCTGTCAATCAAAATCATCTTTTATATTTTCTCACAAGTTTCTCATCCCGGCACCCCAACAGGTGTGTTTGCTTAGAAATAAATGAATTAGGAGATAAAAATGTAGTTAATCATTAGTAAAAACTGCCATGGGAACAACTAAAGAAAAAGCACCAACAAGCTTTGAAATAAATGAAAATATATAGGGAAAGTTTTCATTCATAGTTCAACATATTTTGCCGTACAAAGAAATACTGTATAATATTTTTTTTGCAAAAAGGAGACAACGTGTAATTCCTATATAATGGAGGGTTCCCCCTGCCCCCGTTGGTGCCACCACTAACAAAAGTGTATGACGATTTGAACCCGTTCCAAAATCAAAAAGCTATTTCAACTAGAGGGGGGGGGGGGAGGAGTAAACTGTGTATGTATTCAAAATTACAATCAACATTTCATTATGTACTGTTTCAGGGAACTGATGGGTTATAGAAATGAGTACACCCCCTTTCTTAATGTGTTAAAAAGAGTGGCCATATTTCAATATGCACCACGTTGTAAAACTGAGTGGTATCGATATTGTTATTTGATGTCTAAATTTACCACAATCATGGTACTATACAGTATATGATAAAAATAATCTTTAACACATTGGCTGCCAGAGACAACTATACTAGTCAAAATCGGGGTAACATTCGAACGTTTATTACTTCTTTGTAGAACCACAGACTTAATGGCTGGTTGTTAGGGGAAGATTCACCTAGACGATAAAATACAAATGACATACATTTGTTGTGTTATGTTGCCGGCAGTACACTCGAGGGGCACAAGTTGGGGAGCCCTTTGAACATATACCAACCCATGCAAAAAGTGAACGAGAAAACTTGCATTTTGATAGCCAATAGGAAGTGCTGTCACAGTGTCGCCGACGAGTTCACTTGTTCTCTAATATTTTCCCGCCAATTTATTAGACACATCATTTTGATGATATTTGGCTAGATAAAATCTCAAAAAAGTATGTTTGTACATGTAAACTTTTACAGGAAGGAACCTTAAAAAAGGTCTGGCAGTCAACGTATTAAAGCTGAGATTTAAAACTGCTAACAGCCACTGCAAAAGACAGCAGACAAAGAATATACAAAAGAGGAACTGTTTTAAAAATATTTCAAATGCGGGCATGGAACATAAAATGTATCAATTGTTAAAGCCCTTGTCTGAATTTCTATTCTATCAATTAAATTTATGTTTTCATAATTTTATATGATGTTTTACTTTTTCGAGTTGTCAAACACATTAATAGTTCTTTAAAAACTATAAAAATCATTATGGAAAACACTTTCTCGGAAAACCCATAAATTTTAAGTAGCATAAATCTATGTTATTCTTAGTAATAAACAGTTAAGTTCATTGTTTATTTTCTATGAAAAAGTGCTCAACATTATTATGAGTCCGTAAATTCTAGGCAATTAATGCCCACAGTTGTTCTATGGGGAGTCGTACAGTAGATGGTAGAGCCGCAGAACTTGGTTCAGCACCTCATGTAGGATGATTAACACTAAATGATTGATGTCATGCCAAATGTATTTTTTCTGTGTGTTTATTCCATGGAATTCTGAATTTATCTCGTAGAAATATACCATAGTCATAGTTTATTTCATAAATAATATAATTTTTTTTAAATTGAAGTAAAATAATAGCGAAAAACACTTGCTTTTGTGTTGACGGTTTTGGCTCGGTTATCAGGAAGACTAGATGAAATTGTTTGTTTTATTTGTATTTTATTAATTTTTGGCAGTATAGTAAACTATATAGCAGATATTAAAGAAAATTAAAAAAAAATCATGGAATTTACAACAGATTTCAAAAAACTAAAACTATTATCAAAATGCAATATGTTCAGTGATCTTGGTTTTAAATTTTCATTTACTTGTTTAGGCGAACATATACGTGCCAAGGATTGCCAATAGTGAATATCTTTGGGGTTTAAGAGCGTTCTTCTGTGATTCTTTAAAGATTTGCAACGACCTTCCATAATCAATTCGTTCTGCGGGATGCCTTTCGGTCTTTAAATCCCCCTTAAAACACATTTATTTAACATCCACTTCAAATAATTGTTTTTGTTCATGCTTTCTCTTTTGACTTGGGACAGTGCCATGAGTGCATTTTGCGGATATGGTGCTATACCTGTACAAATTGACAGTATTATTATTATTATTATTATTATTATTATTATTATTATTATTATTATTATTATTATTATTATTATTGTTGTTATTTATTATTATTTTTATTATTATTATTAATATATCACTGTCATACTGGCAGGTGACAATTGAATTCCTTTCGCAAGACAAACATACACACACGATGCTTAAACTAAATCTCAGTATGAGGTTTAGGAAGTGGAGTTGTTTTGTTCATGCAAAAAATCCTGCGACACTGACAGGAATTGAACCCATGATATCTGTGATTGGAAGGCAAGCATCTTATCCAATGTTCAAGGTCATTTGAAAGAAAAATAATATATTTTGTAGTCAATTAAACATATTAACTGCTCAGTGTTCTTTGAATAGACCTTAATTTGGCTGATAATCAATTTTTACAATTCTACTGTATCAGTGAAAATTAATTTGTTTCAATCTATGACTCATTTAAAGGAGTCGACAACTTTGAATTTTTTTTAATGAGCAATTTGTTGTTTTAATTTAATTTAAATGAGGGTTTTCAGATTTCATCACAGATCCATTTTTTTGTAAATCGCTTTATATCTCAGCTGTTAATACTGCTTACCGGTATGTAGGCCTAGGCCTATGAATCTGTGAAAGTATTACTTAATAAACTCTTTGCAATATGTACAGTTTAGAGCTCTAAGGCCTGGCTGGAACTTGGCCCAGATGATAGAATGTGCAAAAGTGAAAGTAAATACTGGGTCAAGTTCAGGGTGATGTCATAAAATGGGGGTCAAACCAGAAGACATTTGTTCTGACTCCCCTCTCAATAACTGAGTACTGTACCTACAGGCTACGCCTGAATCATGGTTTATCAATCTTGAAAATTCTATCTAAGATACCCCCTTTATATTTTTTTGTTCTCTTTTGCAGAGTTAAACCTCATTTATTTTAATTACTTTTTCCCATTGTGTTTAACACTGATGCTTTTAAAAAATTATATTGTACTTTTCTATAAACATAATGAAAACAATGTACATGATACGATACATACACTCACACGTAGGCCTACTTCTCTTCTTTTTTCTAAATAATTTTATACTTGAAATTGCAATAAAATGTCAGCCTCTGTTTTAAGAAATAAATTAATGTTTACCCGCTCTATATATTATTGCGCTACCATACAATTCCATTCTACAAATTGCTTAACTGTTAATCTTTTTTGGCATTACTGTAAGTGACTTATCTCAATTTTATTTTTCAAATTTTTTTTTTATTGGTGAATGAATGTGCATTCAATATCTGTTGTCATGCGTTAATTATTCTATTTAATTAATTGTGTTTTCCTGAATTCCCATCGTGTAAAATCTCATTTCAGTAGACACTAGAGTAGTCACTTTACAAAGTAAGTACTCTAAGGCCAACAGTACACGGGGGAGTATATGATGAGTGTTAGTATTATTTTCCACCCTTTGGCTGAATACCGAAGAATATCCCACTAGGCCGTGTAAGGAGGGCATACTCAGGCACATTATTTTCAGCATACCCTCAAGAAAATAATGTAATCACCCATTCAGGGACATTATGCCTCCGGCGTGTGCCTGAATACTAAGGTTAATTCCATTATTTTCTTTTATGTTCAAGGGTGAAAACCAAATTTCTGTGACCTTGTCCTTTGACCTTTCCGAAAGTTGAATGGTGTCTTTCTTAGATTAATATGTACCATTCCACTAAATTTTATGGTGATCCATTCATTAGTTTTGTGTAATCTTGCTAACAAACTGGCAGATAGCGGTGAATGCAAAACCTCTTTTGGCAAAGGTAATTTTGTAGCCTTTTCATAAGGAGCCTGTATGACCAATCCTAAGATATCTTCTAGGCTTGACGCAGCTTCACCAGTATGAATTGCGTCAGTGTAACTTGTTCATTTGATGAAATGAACAAATTAAAACTGAACACTTCGTTCTGAAATTCAACTGTTTTTTTTTTCTAAGAAATCATTATACCATCAGCATTTTTTTACACTCTTTGAGCTACCAATACAGTATACCATGTGATTACTTTATAAACAAGTTCAACCAATAGAGGGCGTACATCACAAAATCATTTTATTGCTTTGAGAAGCTATATAAGTACCCTCAGTGAAGATTCCTAACTATTGTCCATTATCACT